TACCAGAGAAAACCCTATCTTAGAACTTTAAAACTCTACTAATGACAACAATACAATGCTTACCTGTATTTATAGAAAATTTTGACTTTTTGCCATGGTGACCGGGTGGCATTGTTATGATGACCTCACTTTAATGATATGTCATATTTTAGGCATTCATTGTGGTGATGTTACCTCTTATTGTGGCGAACTATCCAGAAAAGTAGGTATTGCACACCCCACAATAACCATTTGATAAAAGCAGGCCAAATTAACATTTTAAACTAATTAAACTTGAAATCTAACACATACTAATATCATACTCCCTCCATTCCTTATTATAAGAGACAAATAACCGAATTACGTTGATCAAAAAAGCAGTTAAAATTAGTTAAGAACAATCAATGTGTAAAAAATATAATTTTTTTTCCCAAAAATGCCCTCATTAATAAGGAGAGAGAGCATGAGAGAGAACAATTAAATTATTAAAAGAAAGAGAAGTAGGAGGGAGAGAGAGTGTGAGTTGGAGACAATAAATATGGGTAAAATAGGAAATCAACACAAAAAAGTAGAGACAACTTTTAAGTGTCTCTTATATATAGGAACATGCAATAAGCATCAAATGTCTCTTATAATAAGGAACGGAGGGAGTAACAAAAATCTAACTCTAATATCAACCTAGCTCAAAACTTCATATAATCTCAAATCCAACAAAACTAAACTAATTATATATTTTATCTAGTCCATATAATCCATTTAATTTCATAAGATTAATTAAAAATATCCCATATTTTGAAATCCATAAAGAAACCTAGATTCTAAACTTTTGAAAATCTGAAAAACCAAGAAAGAATGAAAGAAATCAAGTTTGGGAAGCTTATTAAGTGTTAGAGAGCTTGAATTTACTCCTAAATAGACAAAAACCAAAGACTCAACAGAATCCAAGCTGTCTCTTGTAACACCTTAACTTTAGAAAATACTTGAAGCCAAAATAGCTCAATTAGAACCACTTTACATGGAATTAGGCTTAGAAAACCATATTTTGAAAAAAATTTCGCTCAGGTTACTACTCATTTGGTAACTTAAAAATGTTGACAACTTTGAAAATTCATGATTAATTATACAAAAAACAAAATAACATGATCCAAGTTCTATTTGAAGTTCATTCAATTCCCTATGAAGAAAAAAAATACTCATTGGTCAATTACTAAATCCATTCATGTTCCATTTTCTTCCCAAAAATCATTGTTCATTTGGTCAATTTTTATTTTTTAACTTTTTGTCTTAAATTCAAAAATTCATATATTTTTATGCAAAACTCCAATTCAAGTGATCTACCACTTCATCTGAAGCTAAAAATATTATCTCTAAGTCCACCAAATTTCAAAGCCAGATTCCACCATTTGGTCATAAAACTTGTAGCCCCAAACTTAGGGTTTTACAAGCCATTTTACCTCATTTAATTTTCCTAACTTGTGAAATTTGATTCCTAGCTTCTATTTTTACTAAAATCTCTTCATACCATCATGGATGTTATATCTTAATACCTCCCAAGAAGCGGGAGCTACCATCTATACAAGCATCCATCAATATACAAACATTACATCATCCACATAATTCATTATCCAAACATATAGAACTTCATAACATGTCATGCAAGATTCCCTCTCAACTTCCAAACTCTTCCTTTTGTCCTTTAATGAGCCATCTCCTAGAAGGGTCAATTGTATATAAAAAGGGGTTAGATTTTAAAAAAATCTTAGTAGCACAAAACAACGATTGTAATATTAATAATACAAGGTTACTCATGCCATACATAATCAAATTTTCTCACATATCAATTCACATTTTTATGCCATGGAAAGGGAGCATAACATCATCTTATTAACAACTCAACTATACATACTTTCAAGGCATAAATGCAAGGAGTTAAACACATATTATCATGCATAACTCAACCACGTCATCGCATAATATACATAGCAAAACAGCCAATACAAATCAATACTAAAATTGTAAAGTCATGCTACCTCTTATCAAGCTTTTACTCCTTGATCCCCTTAGCTTGTTCTTAAGCCTTCTCTTCCTCAAATCTAATGCCTATTAATCACATAGCAATGGCATTCCACATTACTCAAACAATTCCACCAAACACCTAACTTAAAACCCTAACCCTTAATCCTTGACTTTAGGGTTTTTGCATTATCTTTTCCAACATAATTCTCTTAGGCTTTTCCTACATATTTTTCATGTAGAATCCATATTTGAACTTAGTTTTATAAAAATGCAATTCCTTCCCACCTATCTTGACTTGGCCAAAACATAGGGTTAGGATTTTAAAAATTTTATTTTCAATTTTAATATTTCTAAACACATTTTCTCTACATGGCCTGACCTAATTGCACCTTTTAAACTCATTGGAAGCATCAAATTAACAAGAAGAAAACTCTAACCCTACAATCTCAACTTGGCCGAATGGTATCCACATATTTCACACATTGGAATTACTTTAAAACCTAAGTTAAAATATCAATTTCCAACCATTCTCTATCATCTAATCCATATACAGTCCTTAAATCATTCATTGCTCAATATATAACAACTTGAACAAAAGCTAGACTTAGGGTTTCAAGCTTTTCAACTTTCATCAAAACCCCATATAAAACCAACAATTCAATGGCATCATAGACTGGGTTAATTTTTATGATCTTACCTTGATTAAGTGTTTAATTCTGCCTAGTTTTTTGTTGTTATTCTCTTCTTCCTTCTTCCCCCTTTCTTGGCTGAAACTTTCCTCCCCTTTTGCTCTTAAGTTGGCCAAAAATTTTGGCCTAAAGGGAGGGGAAGGGGTATTTATAGATGAGCTTGAAAAATTCACCATATGGTAATCTTTAAGTCACCATTTACCCTTGCCATAACACTTGGCTTCATCTTGTGCTTGCTCTCTTATGATTTTGCCAAGTAAACACATGAGATGGCTTGCTCATGTACAACTTTGCTTCTAGACATGCAAACTCATGTAACACCTAATTAACCATATGAAAAAAAGCCTAATTTTTATTAGATAATTCCATTCTTCCAAGCTTAACCCCTTAACAAAATGTATTATTCTATATATGTCCTCCCCCCTATTTTGGTGCCAAACCATATAAAAAAATTGGAAACAATTTTGCTCCACTAAGTTTTTGGTTATCATGTTGTATAACTCCCTAATATCAGTTAAACTTTTCCTGGCCCTTGTTGAATTTAATACTTTTAAAATTTATTTCTTTGCACCAATAGCTTCTTTTTTATGGGTGGAAGTTTTTCTATTTTTTTCAAATTTAATTTTGACCTATGATGAAACTCCTTAATTACATTTTGCTTGTATAAAATAAATGGGAGTTTGGAAGAATTTTAACTGAAATTAATAGAAAAAATGATATTTTGAAGGCCTTAATATTGTTTCAGATTGCATTTTTTTAGGGGCAAATTGGGAAGTACAAAGCCAATTTTGGAGCAGCAAAACGTGGAGTTTTTTTTTTTAAAAAAAGAAAGTCTGAAACCAATTATACTAGCCAGCTGTACACAAATTCAACTGCATTGAGGGACACGTGGGTAGTTATTTTTTGACCAAGAATTGAAGTTGAAAATGAAGGGGGGCCGAATAAAAACTGTACGGAAATAAAAAGATCAAGTGGGCACCGAATGATGGGAGAATAGATATTATTAAAGGAAGGAGGGACCACACGGGGGGATATACATTCTTTCGCTTGCACCTTTTTCTCTCTCTCAACTTCGGATTATCTCACTTTCTCCGCCGCACCTCCCCGTTCGCATCAGTTCTGCAATGGCGAAGCAAATCGAAAGATCTACCCAAGCCATTCCTGCAGCCATGAGGAGCTGAAACTCTTCTTCCTTTGGAGATTCAACCGAAGCCTGAGTCATGGAGCTTGAAAGGGAGTTTGTTCAAATTATTTTTTTTTCTGGATTTGGAAATACTCTTCTCTGGTCAGAGCGTGTGATTTCTGATCTTATTAGCTGAGTTTATGTACTTCTTTATGATTGTTAAATCAGGATTTTGAATGTGCTATGTGTTTAGGTGTCTAATGCTCTTTGTTTTGGAGTAGATTCGGTTATGATTTTCGATTTGTTCAAATCAGATTGTAACTGAGTTGATTAAAAATCTAATGGATGCTGTTAGTATTCATCTAGGAGCTCTGAATGCATTTCATGTTCTTAATCTGAGAAGGCATATTTAGATTTATCTTTCTAATTAGTGCAAACGAAATATGAATAGACAATGAAGGCTAGGGAATTCTCCGAAGGAAGTTTTCTCAATCTGTTGATTTCAATTCTACTCTTTTGATATTCTGCTTCTGATCATTTTCTTTCTTATTCTACTCTTCAAAGAAATTTCTGAACAAACAATTTGCATAGGATAATTTTCTTCAACTTAATTTGTTGAACACTCTTTTAACTGATTTTCAAGGAATCTTAGCTCCTCAAGAGATCGACCTAGGACTTGCACAATTACTACATATTTTTTTTTGTAAACTAGAATTTTTGATAAGCTCCTACGACAGAGTCTATCAATTGGCGCCGTTGCCGGGGAGCTTTGTCTCCTTGGTTCTCAGTTGCTAGAGTGTTTTGTAATCTGCCTTGAATTTTTTTTTATAGAATTTTTGCTCTTCAATCTGTTATTAAAAAAAATTCTGGTTTCTGTTTTGCTGTGATTCTGCTTAGAGTTGCATTATTTTGGAGATTTTGATTCTGCTATCATTTAGTTTTATTGCTGCTATTTTTGAAAAAAAAAAAAGAGGAGAGAAAAGTTTATGACCAGAAATAGGGAACTTTTACCTTTAGATCCAGATCTTAATAAGACTTTAAGGGAATTGAAAAAGAGCAAACACGTTAGAACTGTAGGTTTGGAAAATAGGGAGGAAACATCTCACATAACACCCACTAGCCAATCAAGTGATTCTAATAATTTTTCTGACTCAGATTCTGCTGCAGGTGAATTTATAGACAACCATTTCATTATGGCTCAAAGAAACAATGCAAATGAGGATGATACTAGAAGCATCAGAGACATAAACAATACTGCTGCCCATTGTACTCCTAGAGGTTTCTATGCCAATGCTGCGAATTTTGAAATCAAGGGATCTTTGATTAGTGCTCTTCCAAGGTTTTATGGCCTGGCTGGGAATGATGCTTATTTGCATTTGGATACTTTATATTCAGTGTGTTCAGCCATGAAACCTCCTGAAGCTAAGCTGGAAGATGTGCTAATGAAGGTTTTTCATTTCTCACTAGAGGGAGGAGCTAAGGAATGGCTTCATACCCTACCTCAACATTATGCTACACTCACATGGGAACAATTGCAGAAAACCTTCTTAGACAAATATTTTCCAGCCTCACGTATCTCCAAGCTAAGAAAGGCCATTTATGGGATTTCACAAAGAGACCAAGAATCCTTGTATGACTATTGGACAAGGTATTTGACTCTAATAAATCGCTGTCCAAATCATCAGTGTAGTAAGTCAAACCTTGTGCAATATTTCTATGAAGGCTTACTGCCCTCTTATAAGATGAGTATAGATGCTGCTACAAATGGCTCTATTTTTGCTCTTACACCTAATAAGGCCTGGGAATTATTGGAGACTATGGCTAACAGCAATCAACAATTTTACACAAGAGATACTGCAGGTGTTAGTGAAGTTACTACAGATAACTCTCAAGATATGCTGGTTCAGTTGTTGTCAAAAATGGATAAAAGGCTAGAAAGGTTGGAAAATGAAAGACAACCGAAGGCTTGTAATGCTGTAAATACTTCCCAAGCTCTAGTGGGACCTTCTTGTACTCACTGTGCATCACCTATGCATACTAGTGAGACCTGTCCTGCACACTATGAAGACCTAGTAGCCATGTATCCGAATAGACCAAATCAGTTTCAACAAAGAAATCCCTTTTCCAATACATACAATGAAGGATGGAGAGATCATCCAAATTTGAGATGGAGAGAAGGAGGGGAAAGGGCATCTCAAGGGCTGAATAGGTTTCAAGAGAGTAGAAATTCTGCAGAAAATCAAAGGGCTATGGTACCTCTACAAGGAGCTTCTTCATCAAAGAATGATGAGAATTTGACCAAGATATTGTCAACTATGGAAGAATTGGGGTCTAAATTGGATTGTACAAATGCAGTGAGTAATTCTAGGTTTGCTGCCTTGGAAAATAAGTTTGAGCAGTGGGAGACAAAGTCATCAAATCTGAATAGTTTTGTTACACAAATAGCTAATACACTCAATGAAGTTCAAGCAAAAATAGGAGGTGCACTGCCATCTAATACTGTAATCAATCCAAAGTCCTTAAATGCTATAACATTGAGAAGTGGAAAGCAAGTGAAATTTGCCACTGATGACAAGGAGGATTATAATTCTCAAGTTGCTGCCCATTTTAATGAAGGAGAGAGTGATTGTGAAGAAGGGTGTATGAAAGAGAATAGTGCTTAAGGACATTTATTGAAGTCTGAAAGTGGGAAGGAGAATCAATTACGACCAAGGGCAAGAAAGATGATAAATCAATCTGATATGGATGAAGTTGAAGATTCTGAACATCAAACCTGCACACATCACCACTTTAGTAAGGATGAGGGAACTGTCAAGGAAGAAAAGGAGCAGCAACTGAAGAGGAAAAATAAGGAGCAATTAAACTCTACTGCATCTGAAGCTGTCCAAAATCCAGAAAAAGAGGTAAGAATTTCAGAACTTCCATTTCCTAATTCCTTTCTGCTTAATAAAAAAATTTCAAATGAAAAATTAGAAAAAGAAGCTTTGAATTTGTTTAGCAAGCTAGAAGTCAATGTTCCATTGCTGGATTTCTTGAAAAGCATGCCTAAATACATGAGATTCTTGAAGGATTTGTGCACTAATAAAAGAAAATGTAAACCTAATGAGATGGTGCAGATTGGTTCTAGTGTTTCAGCTTTATTCAAGCCACAAATTCCTGTAAAATGTGCTGATCCTGGAGCATTTAGTATTCCTTGTACCATAGGTAAATTGAACATTGCTAGTGCCCTTTTAGATTTAGGGGCAGCAATCAATGTAATGCCTATGTCTATCTACACATCTTTAGGCATTGATTCTATAAAAAATACTAGCATGATTGTTCAGTTAGCAGACAGAACCACTAGAAAACCTTTTGGACTGTTAGAAGACATATTAGTAAAGGTAAAAGATTTGGTTTTTCCAGTAGATTTTTATGTCCTTGATATGTCACGTGAGTCAGTCTTTGAAGGACCTTTAATCTTGGGAAGGCCATTTCTTCGAACAGCAAATACAGTCATTAGCATGAAGGATGGGTATATTACAATGGAAGTAGGTGATCATGTAATCAAATTTAATGTCTATGAAGCTATGAGACACCCTTTTGAGGATTATTCTCTTCTTGATCTAAGGGTTATTGATGTTTTCATTGATGAATCTGCTGCTGAACATGCATTGACATTGTGTGATGAAGATAATTTGGAAATAGTAGAACCTGAATTGACTACAACTGAGATTGATTCCTTCTTCTTCTCTGATTATTTTTTGGACAGCAATGATGACGTGTGTAGTATTAGCCAATTCTCGGTTGATAGCTCACTTTCCATCTTGCAGTCTTTTTCTTTTGATACTACTTCTTTTATTAGTGCCACTAACTCTTTACTTTCAAGTGATGATTGTGGAAGACAAATTTTAGCTGAGTTTGCAGAGGCTGAATCTATTGCAAAGAATGAGTTGAAAGACTTTAAAGCCTCTTGTGATGAAGTTTTAAAAGATGCTGTCATGGATGATTTGGACAAGGATAAGCAAGCAATTGTTTCAACAAGAGATGATGTTAATGACAAGTCTACATTGCAGCTACCTCTAGCATTGGGTTTAGAGAAAACCCAATCTGATTTAATGCTTGATTTAAATTCTAAAATTTCATTTCAAACTATTAAACACTTTTATGATTTACTTTCTGAATTTGTTTTAGGTCCAGAACAGTTTAAGAACAATTGGAGTTTGCCTCTGATGAAGTTCATTCAAGAAGCAAATCAGTAGCAGAGGCATCAATAAGAAAACTAAACAAGACCTAAGTGTTTTAAATTGGTTACATTCATTTGAGTTTGATTCCCCTCTAGATCACTCACTTGCTGTTTCTGATCTGAACAGGGTGAAAAAGTTTCCAGAACAGATGAAGACTTGGGTAGGAGCTTTGGAACTGCAAGAACTGATTCCATCAGTCATCAAACCACCAGATTTGGATCTTAAACCTTTACCTTCTAATCTGAAATATGTGTTTCTGGCTGAAAACAATAAATTGCCTGTTATAGTAGCTAATTCACTATCTGAATTTGAAGAGCAACAATTAGTCACAGTTCTAAAAAAAAATATGAGAGCTATAGGCTGGTCTTTAGCTGATATTCCAAGCTTAAATGCTTCCATTTGTACCCATAGAATCTTATTAACAGAAGGTGCTAAGCCTATAAGACAGCCACAAAGAAGATTAAACCCCTTAATTCTTGAAGTGGTCAAAAAGGAAGTGACTAAGCTACTTAGTGCAGGAATTATATACCCTATTTCAGATAGTGAATGGGTTAGTCCAGTGCATGTAGTACCCAAAAAAAGTGGCATAACTGTAATAAAAAATGAGAAAAATGAATTAATACCCACTAGGGTGCAAAATTCATGGAGGGTATGTATTGACTATAGAAAATTAAATGATGCAACAAGAAAAGATCACTTTCCTTTACCTTTTATTGACCAAATGCTTGAAAAGCTAGCTGGAAAAACTAACTATTGTTTTCTTGATGGATTTTCAGGTTATTTCCAGATTCCTATAGCACCTGAAGATCAAGACAAGACCACTTTTACTTGTCCCTATGGGACCTTTGCCTATCGAAGAATGCCCTTTGGGCTATGCAATGCTCCGGGAACATTTCAAAGGGCTATGATGGCCATATTTCAAGAGTTTTTGGGGTCATCCATGGAAGTTTTCATGGATGATTTCACTGTGTATGGTGATGACTTTAATTCTTGTTTAGAAAATCTGGATAAGATTTTAGCTAGATGCATAGAGAAGAACCTCATCTTAAATTTTGAAAAGTGCCATTTTATGGTTGAACAAGGCATAGTGTTAGGGCATCTTGTTTCTAGGAATGGTATAGAAGTAGATAAAGCAAAAATAGAAGTTATATCATCTTTACCATATCCTAAAACCTTGAAAGAACTTAGGTCTTTTCTTGGTCACTGTGGTTTTTATAGAAGATTTGTGAAAGACTTTAGTAAAATTGCCTCTCCACTATCCAAACTTTTGCAAAAAGATGCTGATTTCAATTTTGATGAGGAATGTAAATTTGCATTTGATAATCTGAAGAATATGCTTGTTTCACCACCCATACTCACTGCACCAAATTGGGACTTTCCATTTGAGTTGTCTTGTGATGCCTCTCATGCTGCAGTAGGTGCTATGTTAAGTCAAAAGATTGATAAACTATCCAAAGTAATTTCATATGCTTCAAAAACTTTAGATAATGCTCAAATGAATTATACAACAACCGAAAAAGAGCTTTTTGCTATTGTGTTTGCTTTGGACAAGTTTAGAGCTCATCTTATTACTTCTAAGGTGGTTATATATACTGATCATTCTGCTATTAAATTTTTGTTCAAGAAACCACAATCAAAACCAAGGTTGTTAAGGTGGATGCTTTTATTGCAAGAGTTTGATGTTGACATTAGAGATAGAAGTGGAGCAGAAAATACTGTTGCTGACCATTTAAGTCGTTTACCACCTGGAACTCAGGGAGTTTATGCTCCTGACATAACCTGTGATGATTTTCTAGATGCTGTTTTGCTTGCTTTAGCAGTTAACTCCTTCTATTTAATTTTTCTCAAAATCAGCCTTTTATCAACATAATTTGGCTTTTATTATTTTAAAGCTAACCTCTATACTTTCAAAGGTCAAGAACAATTTTAAAATTTATAATAACAACTCGAAATAATTTTTCTCATTTTTTCATGAATTATTGAGGCCTCTAGATTTTTAAAATAATTCATTTGGGCCAATTTTTCTTAATTAGCCAAAAATACTAGTAATTACAAAGAATTCTAAAATAAATTATTTTTTTACTCCATTTTTCATGAATTTTTGAGAATCTATAGAAATTTTGGGCATAAATTTCAGTTTTGCTGTGTTTTGACTAGAACTTTTCAAAATGACAGTCCGGTCCTTTCCTGGGTTTTATCTCAAAAATTGTTTCATCATTGTTTCGACTACACTACCTAACCCTTGCTTAGTCCTAACTTCCTCATCTTCTAGGTGACAATTAATAGGATATGACATTTCTCCTACATTCACTTTTAGAAAATTGTGTTCTAGCCAGATTTTATAAACCAAAGCCCAATGTGTGCCTTAGCAAACCTATAGTGAATGGCACAGAAAAAGTGGTTATTTTTCAATACAAAAAAGAATTACCTAAATGTAAGATCATTTGACCCTCTAAAACTCCTAATTTCCCAGACTGGTCAAAAGGTCTAGAGATATGAACTCCAATTATCAATCTTAGTGATTTCTAAATTCAACCACTTAATACCTCAATTTTCTCCCTAATCAAATCTTAATTACCTCTAAATCTTGAGATTAAATTCTTGGATGTCACACTCTTGATGACACATAGCCTATTACCACTTTCTTTGCCAGTGCTTGAAATCAAATAAAATATGCATCAAATTTAATATATTGTTTGTGCATGGAACATTAGGTTGCTAGCCAAGGACTTTCGTACTTTTGTGTTTTCATGCTAGATTTTAGAAACTATGGTTAAGGAAAATTATAACTCCTTTAATAATTATTGCAACCAAGCTAATTATGCTACCAAATCAGTCAAGTCATGATACTATGATTTAGTACTTGAGTGTGCTTGATAAAACCTTGATATAAGGGCTCTCAAAAATTCTAGAATTAAGCTATGTAATACAATGGCTTAACCCTATGTCAATTCTCTAAGAAGGTTAGTTTCTTGGGATTTTAGTCAATTAAATTCCAAAGACAAATTATTGAAATAAAAAGGGTATGTAGATTACCTAAGTAACCTAGTCACCTAAACTATTGTTTATTTCATTTTCTGATTAACATAAATAAGAATGACATAATATGAATGAGATCTTCCTGAGATTAGTACATAGCTCTCACTGCCTTATAGAATTTATGGAGTTTATACTTAGTTCTTAACCTAACCAAGACACCAAAGCAATTATCAATCAATTCAATCCCACAATCAGGTTTAAATGAGCCATAAAGCACAACTGAATCTACTTTAGATCAAGCAGCATTAGACACGTAAATGCACTATAAATCATACTTTGAGTTCAAAAATCTAAATGGAGAATATAATCTAAATCATGCTTAACAAGACAACTCAAACACACATGAATCATAAATCTAGAGGAATGAATTTGATATAAAACTCCTGATTCTAGTCGAAGCT